CGGCGACGTACCGCTTTTGGTGAGAAGATCGCAAAGGAACCGCAGTTGGTGAGCTCGTCTCCTTTTTGTTGACAGACCTAATTACGAGCCCTACTCCTTTTTAGTGCGGCGAGACAAACATGCTGTGTGTTTCCATCGAGACCTTGGTCACGTCTGTCCGTAATGTGACGATTTCATCCGGCACACGACTGTACCTGGTGTGGTCACCATTGCTTCATCGTGTGATATATCACATGATTCAAGTCGTCAAGAGGTGAGTGGGGTCAACCAAAATATAGGGCGCAGCTCAGATTTGCTGGGGCATTTTGCTGGCTCGATTGATCACTGCCGCCGCCTGCGAATTTATATGAAGCCATGCAATAGCAGGAGCATCGTTCACACCCAACAAGAGTCCACAGGTCTCACCAAGGGAGACGAGACGTGTAAGCACTACCAAAAGACTCTCTCCCCTCAAGCCGAACAGCGCCAAATAGAGTTACTCATACAGGACTTCCTCAATAAATAGGGTAAAGGACAAGCTTCCTAGCAGCCTCATTGCCTGTACTTCCGAAATGTTTCAGCACATTCGCCGAACAAACTGCAGGCACGGTAGCGCCGAGAAGGGTTCCAAAGCCAACTCACTACAGAATGCTGACAAATCATCCTGTCGAATTTGTTATGGAGTTGTCTCGTCATCACAGGTTTGTTTGTCTTTATCATTGTACACATGCATGGCGCAATCCCTTTTGGTATGCGCAATGCATCTGGCTTCCGTTCAGTATCCTGGTTGTTTTGGAAGACGATTTGATCTCCGCAATAACCAGGCAATGCGTCAGCCGATGTGCATCCATCCACTGCTTTTATCCCCATTGGTATGCTTACTGCCAGATAAACGACCTTTGAGCGACGAAAGACTTGGTTGGCCCTAACGAACGTCGATTCGAGATTCGCCCCAGACTACGGGTGTGGAAAACGGCGCCTTTTGTTTCCGCGCCGCCTCATTCAGGCCCGCTCATTATAAGTGATGAAATTATATCTTAAAGAGTGCGCTGAGTGAGAGGGAAAAAAATGATGATGAATTATGTATTTTCTGCTCTATGATGGTACTCAAAAATCCTCGTTGAAGTCAAGCAGAATGATCCAAGAAGCGTGGCTTGCCCGAAGTGCCGAAGTGCCTCTAAACTGCTAATCAAGAATTGAAATCTGGGAGCAAGCACATCCTTCCAAGAACCGTGAGTGAAAAAGCGGTGTTTAATTCTAACGTTTTAATTGCAAGTGGCCATGACGCAGTCTTGTTCGCTGCAGGTGCTGGGATGTGTCAGAGGAAGGGAGCCTGTTCGGCGCGGCGCAAATTTGTTTCTTGTCACTACTTTTTGTCGCTTACCTGCTTCAGCAGTTGGGGGAGAACGGGTTGGCACCGCGCCAAAGAGGGGAGACCATACGTAATGGTCTGGCAGTACACTGAACTATTAATTCTGTGAAAATGTGAAAATCTTTCCTAATTCAGAGTTGTATGGCTGATCCCATCACTGACGTTTGATTATTCGCCGGCAGGCCTTACGGCAGTATCACCGCAATTAACAATCAGTATGGATGGAGCCGACATTGTGACCGCCATGGTTGGTTTTCCTGTTTAAGCTAATTTTCTCTTTGTTTTGAATGGCTGGATTCGCAATAGCTACTTATTCATTGTCACGTTATTAGATTTCTTCTACACACATTTTTTTCAGGATGTTTACATTACTCGGCGCCCCTTTGACGCTCAAATGGATAGCTTCCGCAGGGGATTCGACAACTGTACAACACTTTCTAACAAAGTACTGTTTTCATCTAAAACCTCTTTCATGAATTGTGACACCCGGCCGCGGGAGTCAAGCGATCGCGCGCTGAGGTCGCGCGATTCAAGCGCATCGGCGATTGGCTGTGAATGGAGAAACCGATTCCGAAATTCAACTAGATGATGGAAATGATGTAGCCGCTAGAAGTAATAGCTTCACTGCCGATTGCAGAATTGCTTGAACTCTGCGACAGAACAACCGCACTGCGAGAGCGGGTATTGATTCGCCGGTGTCGCTGACTATAAACGCTGCCTGCCTGACTGATGTAATTCGAAAGTCGCGCTGATAATTTGTTGAGTCGGCTTATATTTACAGGTATGGACCTGGACCGCAGCTTCGTTTCTCTTCTACCTTCCATACGAATTCAATTTTGCGCAAGTTTTTGATGAGGTATTCTTCTACTAAGATCACTAATCTTATGCGACCAGGAGTGTATTGTTTTCAGTTTATAAATTGTATCAAATGGATCAAAGTAGTACATGGGTTGAAGTCAGCGCCGTTCAAACCTGGTGGTCCATTGCCAGCCGACTTCCGTCTTGTGTTCAAGGTGGGTGGATAGGCAACTAGGAGAGAGCACATGTGTGATTACATGCCGAATATTTTCAGGAAGCTCGCATTGAATTAGAGGATGACTTCTTCGAGAATTTGTTACAGATGAGTCATGAGCTCAAGGAAGACGAGGTAATTCCAATGTACCATTGATATCATCGCATCTTGCGGTGCTGTGTCGGGGGCGTGAAATGAGTTCACTCGCAGCGCTTCTTTCTACGATTCGTTACCTTTTTTATCTGAAAAGGCCACTATTGGTAGAAAACGCAACCACAGATGGACTGATTTCACGTATTCTGACAGCTCATCGCCGGATTGCGACTATATCCACTGTACATACAGAGGAATTGTGCGGGTACCTGTAAGGGGTACCTGTACCACATCCCCTTGCATGTGCTTAGCGGGCAAGTCCGCAGCCGTAACGAATGTTAAGACACACTGCCGTCGACACACTGAGTGGATCTATAAGGACAATTTCGTCCATTGATATCTGAGAAGGCGCAGGAAAAAAGGGTATTTTCACGAGAGTCGATCCAAGACTCGACCACTGGTCGGTGCCTGTGTTAGGTGACGCCAACTGCTCCTGTTTGTGAAAAGCTCTTTTCGAATGGGAGGCGAAAAAGTATAAAAGGTCCTATCACAGCCTTTCGATATCATTTCTACACATTCTCGGGTAGATCCTTCCGTCACCCGAGAAAGCGTGGGATTCAATGTGCCCTCATGTTGCGTCAAATTGTGGATTACTGATTCCACTTACATCCATTCGGTTCCTCTGAGAAGAACTTGTTTTAGGTCTACGAATGCGAACGGAGGCGGCAAATGCTCAAGGATCGGCTCCTTACCCTGCGTAAAGCAAATCCTCTTATTCCACGTAAGTCTGTGGGGAAAGATGATCACCTTCTCTTGAACATTCCCAATAATTTGGTCTTATATTCAAGAGACCAGAGTTGATGAACTCTTTGCGATGCTGCTGGAGAAGAACAGCGCCATCTATATAGAGCGGTGGAATAAAGCAGGGAGTGCGAAAAGGTTTTTTTTTATTTTGAGAGATTTCTTATTTGCGTATATCACTGCTCTACAAGATGAGAATCTGGTTTGATTCCACGTCATGCTCCAGGCCTCTGTACGTTTCAAAATGGACAGATTGGGATTTGAGAGCATTCGCTGATGAGACTTTCCATGGCACCGAGAAATGCGTAGATTTCATTCGCGAGTTCGATCCTTTGAGGTAATCTAAAGATATTTTCGAAGTGGCTTATTGAAGACGTGTTTGTTAACTTGAACGTTCAGCTCTTATCCAGCTGGTGGGCTGCAATTTTCTACCCTGTGGGGTCGAGCGGTTGAGCTTGATATGGGAGAGTGGTGTGTGAATTTCAAGGATTACCCCATTCCTTATCTACTTGCAAAGGATATGCATTTCTTTGGTCTTCTTGTGGGCGCTGAAGAAATGGAGGGTTGTTCAGCCTGTCAAACTACTTTTTCAGTGAAATATAGCATTTTAGTTGGGAGTATTGTTTTATTGCAGAAAGTGGACGTTCCTTCCGTGAATGTGAAATTAATTTGCCGGCTCCATGGGAGACACACACAGTGCGACGTAATATGGCCCCATTGAAGTTCTACTATGATATGCAGTGCGGTCAGTTGCTTGAACACATTTTGTCCTATTTGGACGTTTCTGGGTTTTTTTTTGTTTCGTGAGCCTTTGCGGCCGATCTTTTTGAGGTATTTGCGAACAAGTGTAACAAATCGTTCTTCCAGAGAGCGCGGATTTGTCAGCCACGTATGGGCCGTGCTGGGAACCTTGCCTGTCGATGATTAGCCTAATGTGGAACAATATCAGTGCTCCATCGAAGGATCCATCAGTTCCACTACCTTTCTGGGATAAAATGCGCTTCCTCCTGCACGGGCGTTCTCCTGGCTTAGCTCAAAGGTATGGTCTGATGTGGTCACTTCTAAGTTTTTTTGAATACTTTTATTGAGTTGCGAAATATTTATTTGCAGGTCGTGACAACTATGTTGGCATCACCTGATCCATACAATACAACAGAAACTGTGGAGATGTGCTGGGATGATTTCGGACTTGACTGGGCGTTAGGTAAGTTTCGCGCATCACTCCACGTTACTTTCACTAATCAAACTGCTCACGATTTCTAATCGTCAACTAGCGCTAGTAATTCTAGTAATGGGGCACTCTGGTCTTGGAATTGAAAGTGTAGGGGTTCGGTAGTAGATTTTTCCCGTTCCAAACACGCATAACGGGTGACGGATGCTTGGGGGGAGGGGTGGGAGAGGGAGTGACTAGTGAAAAAAGTTTTTGTATCCCGATCGTCTGTCCTAGCTAGCTAGTAGACACTTTTTCACATGCTGGAGTTATTGACGGAACTGTCAAAGTGGAAGTATACATTTCAAGACTGTATTTTCAGGCGAAATTCGCATTAGGTCAGGTTTACGGGTATTCATGCGCACGGCGTCTCGATACGATGACTCTCGCATTCTTTTTCTTCCTGATCTCCGGCTTCGTGTGGTTCTAGGTAGGTGCCTGAGCTCGCTTCCGTCAGACTTCATGGTTATTAGAAGTGTTCGTAATGTTTATATTAGAAGAGTTCGTAGTGTATATCATTTGAGCTACTGGATGCGCTTTTCAGATTGGATTTGCAGTGGTGATCCGCATGATCACCATGCGGTGACTCTATGTGCTCCTCACCGTTTACCACATTCCTTCCTTGGTACGTTCAAATCTTCTGCTTCTTTATCTAGCTCGGCCGAAAAATACAGTTTTTCGGTGGAGGAGTGCATCGCATGTTTTTTCTCCTAGCTGTTGTCAAGTTGGACGCCTACCACATCGGTGAATCCTATGAGTTTAACTTTTCACAGGATCATGATTCGTTCCGAGCCTTTCGGTCTTCGTCACTGGATCTGTCACTCTCATTCGACGTCGCTGCCGGTGCTGAAAACGGTGAAACTGGTGATCGTATTCCCCACGTCCTTCTTTATGCGAACACTTTTCGTTGTATCGAGTTTCTTCTCGTAAGTGCCGTTCCTCATCTGATCGTTGATTCACTAGAAACCTTAACAAAGAGAACTGGAATCATTGGCACCTACGCGATACGCGCATGGGCGGAGACCTACAACAATTGTGTACCGTTGCTGCGCCGCTATCTCTAATATGTCATAGAGGAGGTGCGCGCTAGTGAGAATGGCACGATAGGGCCGAAAATCCCTGATATTCGATTATAGCGAAATGATAAAAGTCATTTCGATGACCTGTCTGAGTGGTACTTTGTGAGTAAGCTGGTGATTACCAGTGAGTAGGCTAATTAGTATAATAGAGTGGAGTATGTGGCAGTGGGAAACAAGGCGTATCTTTTGCACTGCCTGTACATAGGCTCCTGTCTAGTTCAACGTGGTTTCCACCATTTCTCAAGCTTGTGACAGGCAGGATTTAGGTTACTTTGGGACACTGACCGTCGTGAGGCTAGAACGTTTTGTCTGCTCCGCATGCTGGAGCGTGCCAGGGCGGTCAGCTCAGAAGGACATCAACTCCTTCTCCACCAATTTTTGTCACTTGTCCTGCTTGAACAGTTGGTGGAGTACTGTCTGACGCCGGGCCAAACCCAGTGTTCTTGACTCACCCTAGCATCCGACCCTAGCATCCGCAGCGAGCAAGACTGTACAGTGCGTGCGCATTGGAGGGCATACTATACGATTGTCATTTGTACGGAGACACCATCCATTGTGCCTCTCTGACCGATCCTTGTCAGCAGTGTATTAGAAAGTAGGATAGCACTAACGAAAAAGCGACAGTGGCTAGGGTGCTGTCTCCGCCCATCGGGTAGTTCGCCTTTACCCACCTCCGGTTCTGGTGGGAAGTGTATGAATTACAAATAGCAAAGAGGGTTTCGACTGCAGTATCAATCTTACCAGAATCTTCTTTTACCTTGACGCGGCAAGGTTTCTGTGTTCCATTTATGTACAGCTTATGTTTGAAGCTTCCAAAATCTTGTTTCAGAATACGCTTACAATGAAAAATCGAAATGTACGAAAAGGACGGCTATTCGGAACTCCGCCTTATCCAAAACCACAACTGGGGAAGCATTTCAGGTATAACAAATTTTCTAGTGAACTTGGATCAGTTGTGTGAAGCATTGACTCTTCAGAAACGTGCAAGTATCGCTGAACTTTCCGCGATTCTACATCACATACTGGATGTCGCATTCGTCTGATTACGGGTTCCGAGTTATATCGGATGGTTCTGAATTTGCTCGCCTTCGATGAAGCTGACTGTACAGGCTGAAGCAGAATCGGTACCTAGTTTGCTCAGTTCAAACTATTGAGCATCCTAAGTCGCCTGCGGAAATTCTGGCTTTGCAGGGGAGCCAGTATTGTCGCGGTGCCAACCCGTTGTCCTGTAAATGTGGAAGCGTGCAAGCGACAGCAGTTGGTGGAAAACAGGCTGGAGCTGCGTCAAACCCAGCCTCCTGGTACGCCCAGCATTCTCGCAGCAAAACGGGCTGTACACGCTTTCCACGAATTCAAAATAAGCTTTCAAGGGTATCACACGCCGTCGATGTTACGTATGGATACCTCAGCATGTATCGGCCACTCTTGGGAACTCCAGGCTCTTATTTCTTTTTTTGTTCAATCGTTGTTGTCTCTTTCGTTCCTTCGTTCCTTCGCTAGATCCAAGCCCTCGTTCCATACTGCATGGAGAGTTGCTCTGAAAGAATCGCGTCACGGGAGACGCCTGAACACGCGGTTTCATCCTGATTGGTATTTCCAAAAACTCTGATTCGCTTAACATAACCAAAAGAAAACGTGCGTTAATTAGTCAGCTAGTGCAATCGAACTGTGCTGTCCACCATGTCGCGTAGTCTAAACTTTTTTTTCTCCAGTATGTCACTTGGGATCATGCATTCTCCGATGATACTTATTCCTTTCTTGCACCGAATACCCAAATCTCAGGATTCGCGCGTCGTTGTCGACGGGGGGGGCATTTTGTATTATCATTGCTTCCCTAGTTCCGGTTTACAAATCTCACTCTGGTAAAACTTGTGAACTCTTGTGAAGCTGAAGTAAGATCGTCTAGCCACTATCCTGAAAACGGCAACTCGAGAGAAACGGCCTAACCTAAGATGGGCTGCGTCCACACCTCTAGAAGCCCGAAATGCCCCCCCCCCCGTCGACAAACTGCGCCCACAGATTCTCTCAGGTCGCGGATTCTCCACATTCGCAAAGTATGAGCATAGACTAACCGTGCAACAAAGTAGGCTCTCGTGACTCAGCATTGAACCAGTGTTTATTTGATCAAATGGTTTAGGTGCACGTCTACAGCAACGGTCACACTCCTTCTGTTGACGGCCTATCGTCTAGCGACGAAGAAACGTTTTTGTTGGGCTTGACTCGAGTGTCTTACGTTCGAGAGAATAACCGTGGACGCGATGCACCCCAGCATAGATTGACAGCACATGACCTAAAGGTCTGTCAACGGTTTTGCCATTATTTTCATAACGTTTCAGCTGTCCTCTCTTCCCTACTGTCCTGTAAATATGGTGAAGGAGACGACGAGTGTGAGATATTTAGGCCTCATGGACAGCGCAGAATCGCGATGCTTGCATATCAATAGCAGATGGAGTACATCGTGCCCATATGCTTCGCAGAATTCTCAGCAATGATGCTTTGAAGATCCTAAAAGTGACCTGATTTTCGAGAACATTTCTCTCTATTTGACTATTAAATTTAATCACATATATTTGCAGCTGCACATGGAAGAGGAGGCCCAGTCGTCTCCTTCGGATGTTCCACGAACTGATGATTCGACACCTAAGGGTGACCGTGGTCATCGTCGTGGCTACAGTATGTCTGACCATAACCAGTCGCTGCTCAATCAATTGATTGGAGAAGCAAGCACGAAACTTGTAGCTCACTGTGAACAGGTGAGTTCACTGTAGGTTTCCGAAATACAGGAATTTCGCACGGAATTCTCGCACAACGATCCGATTGTGGTGGGAAAAGTAGGTATGAATTGAGCCTTCCTCATTCCGAAGGTCTAAAAGCAACGTTTAATGGCGAAGTGCTTTGGTGACCATTGCCTACTCATGCCATTTGCCACTACAACATCAAGCTGTCCAGCGTTGGTTCTGCCAGCGCCATTCTGGGCCAGCACGGCTTCCATAGGGGTCGTTTAGTTGGCACCAGACTTCTGCTGCCACATCGGCTGCACCTCCCTGCAAACCATTGTGTGGACCAAATAGCATAAAGATCACGGCTTTGAATGGGAGTGGATTGCATGGCTTCA